GCAAGGGTGGGTGGTGCAGTACTTCACATTTTTATTGAAACTGAAAATGTCATTCATCGCACAGGGTCAAGCTGTTTTCTATTATTTTCAATGTATTTGTGCAACTTTGTACATGTTCTGACGTTATTTCTATGTGAAGATGATTGGAACATTTCTTTCAGAATGACACAACATTTTAATTTAGTTAAATCTGATCATTTGATGATACTTGGTGAAACGTTCTTATAGTTAAAGTACCAAAAATAAAAGTAATTGTACAGATTGGTCTATTTCAGAATAATATATATGATGTGTTTTATAATGATTGATCATTAAAGTGTTCTCAAAGCTGGTAAAGGTCCAGCTAACTTTAATGACTTGGTATACTGCAGGGTAGCTTGTGAATTTACTCCAGGTGGAACTAAAGTCTGATTTAAGAGTTCATTATATTTCTCATCATTAATCCAAATATGTAAAGTAACTAAAGGTATTCAATACATGTAATGGAGTGAAAGTGCACCATTTACCCCTGAACTGTAGTGGAGTAAAAGTACACAGTAGCACATGTTAACAGTAAAATAAGTACCTCAAAAGTGTACTTAAGTACAGTACTTGAGTAAATGTACTTAGTTACTCTCCTGATCTGTAAAGCTCTCCCAACATGCAGGTTAGCATCCGGCAGTTTCTATGTGCTGGGGACCCGTACAGTACATTTATATCATAAAACGTTGGGGTCCTCAACATTTTTGGGTTCACAGCAGGACTCTCTGACACATTATTTCTGTGAGTTTGTTCCAGATATTTGGAGCATAATAACTGAAGCTGTTTCTCCATGTTCAGGAACTCCGATCCCCCGAGTCCTGCGGCAGGAAGCGGTCCTTCTCTCCAAGACCTCCTGGACCCAGGCCTGTAAGCTGGTCCAGAACCAGAGTCCCAGTGAGGTTAATGCATAAGCTTTCAAAAAAATATAGTTTTTGAGATGATACAGTGAAAAATCTCTTCAGTTGTGTTTTTCTCTCCACCAGCAGCACACTTTGCTCTTGGTTTAAAATGTGTAGTCCAGGGGTGTCCAGACTTTTTCACCGAGGGCCACATACAGAAAAATATACGAAGGGCTGGGCCACTGAAGTGAGGTGAGGTCTACTGCCTCATAAGTTAAGTTTTAAGTCAGCAAAATAAATCAAATGTGGGTAAATGATGCTTAATACTTGAACATGCTTTAAGAAAAACAACAGCCTACATCACAGCTCTCCATAGGGTTTCATTTATTTTGTTAGCAGCTCATTCCTTAAAACAGAAGCCTCAGATTGATTAGCATAAGAGGAAATAGGAGGGGTTTCTTTCAAGCTTGTTATGAAAATAAGTTATTGGGCTTTTTTCTTATCTACTTAAAAATGTTCAACTTGAATTGACTGAATTTGTTTGAAAAGTGGGCTTCTTAAAACATGAATACTGTGAAATATCTGTTTTTATCTATATTTAAGAAGTACAATACAAGAAAAGCACAAGTTTCATCTGTGGCCATACTCCATTATACTTTTTGTGTAATACACCAAGTCCCCTCTGGAAAGAGTCTTTGTACCAAAGTTTAATCATCAACAAGTTACAAACCACTTTCACTCTGAGATGAACTTTGAAACTTGATTATAATATGAAACCCAGAGCAATTAAAGGATACGTGTACAGTAAGCCACAATGAGATTTCCACAGACCAAAAAGCACTCCCATGAATGGTTTATGAATATAATAATTACAAAGCTGCATACATTGTTCATCCATCCAATTTTGTTTTGTGTTTGTAATGAGCATTTAAAATTTGCTATGCATCCTCTTGTCTTTGAGAGGGTCCGCTTTCTTTTCTCCCTATCAATCAGATTCGTTGCACTGTGGCAGCTGTGGCCCATTAGGAGCTTTGTCTGATAGACGAAATATAAAAATGTGTTCATAATCAACCTCAAACGTTCAAGAAGCACTTTATGAACCTATACTGCCATCTCCTGGAACAGCTAGTCTAATCTCTTGTCAAACATTATAACAATGTTTTCATGATGTTTTCCTCAGTGGTTTTATGCTACACCCTTAATCAGCAATGTCATCTACAAGGGCTTTTATTTGCGCTTATTTCTCAGCTTTCTTGCACATATTAAGCTAACTTAATAATATAGTGTATGGAGCAAGTCAAAGTAAAAGTCCTGCATTTATAAGAACAGAAGTATTGTCAGGAATATGTATTAAAAATGTAAAGTAAAAAAAACATTCTACAGTAATATTGCTTGTTTATATTAATTTGATGGTAGAGGAAAGCACACTCAACGTTCTGCAACACCACATGTCAAATAGTGTACAATATTACCTTTCTGGGCAGCTGTATGTATCTGTGTATGTATGCCCGGTTGGAAATAGTCTACTATGAATTCCTGGGTGCATATGTCTCTGCAAAGACCCTGTAAATAGCTAATCTGGCTAATTTGGCTGTATAATAACTAGTGTCCAACATGGCAATGGATTCACTTACATTTCAGATGTGATCAAAAGCACATCATGTAGATAAATGACTAAGGATAACTCCATCCATCAGTCAAAGATCCTCTCTTTTCATCTGCTCTTATCCCAGCACACATGTTGACGTGTCTTAGGAAAACACAGGTGTTACTAACAGCATTAACAATTGCTTTGTTCTGCTCCCTGTTAACCATGACAGTGCGACAGAGAGCCTGAAACTCAAGCAGCAAAAGCGAATTCAGCCATCATTTATTTTATTATTCACACCTGTTTTTCCACTGTGACATGTCAACATGTCTCCTGTGGGGGACAAAACATTCTCTCCTCCTTTTCCTCTGATTGCAAAGCCGAGTTTTATCAAAATGTTAATCTACCTGTCTCCTTGGCAGATGCAATGTACTGTTAGAGAAAAAAAGACGGGCATTTTGAAGGGATTTCTTTTCTGTTGATGGAAAAGGATATTTTGCAGTGGTGGTCTAGTGCAGTGGTTCTCAAACTTTTTCTGTCCGGCCCCCCCTTTGGAGAAAAAAAAAAGTCGGGCCCCCCCAACACAAATAGTCAGGCTCAGTGGCGGCGCCAGAGATTTATTTTGGGGGTGCTGTGGTGTAGCTTGACGTTTATTAGAGGGTGCTCAAACATTTAGGGTTTCCCATTAATGTACCGGGCGCTACAGTGGAATTTTCTACTGCAACACTCCCCACGCAAATACACAGTGTACCGCGACTGTTACAATGAAGGCTCGATAATCAGCTCACGGCATATAGGTGTAAGCAGGGGTCAAGTGCTATTTTTATAGGTGGTGTGTGGACCTCACATAGGGGGGTCCGGGGGCATGCTCCCCCGGGAAGATTTTTAAATATTTAAGTTAAAAGCATCAATCTGGTGCACTTTGAGAGCAAAATGAAGAGATCTATGGAAACATCTCTCAACACCCATTTGAAACAGAACTGGAAACAGATTTACTTTTTCTTTATGGATATTTTGCAAATCACTCCCTTTAAACTTTATTCTTGTTTCACTGTCATATAGTATTTCATACCTGTTTTTCATTTATTCTCTTATTTTTGTATAACTATAATGATCATATAAACGTGTGCCTCGGAAATAATTGTTTACATTAATGGTGACCAAAACGTTTGAGACCCACTGACATAACACTGAGAGAGTCCTTTAGCTCACTGAGCCTCTCAGTCTGACAGGAGAGGACTCTCCTCCACTTTGTTGTTGAAAAAACTCCTTATATCTGTTAGCGTAGCTCGCTAGCACCAGAAGCTAACATCAACGATCTCCGGTACCGGTGCGCTCTCTCTCTCTCGCGCACGCACACAAAATGGCTCGTTCCACACACACACAGAGCCGAGCTTTAATGAAACACAGAGACCCAGACGTAATAGTACTGTATCATATTATTTTCGAATCAATAATTGTTCAAAATATGATTTACATTTTTTTTTTTTTTAATCTTTTTTTTTTTTTAAGACATTTTTTCTCCTGGTCTCTCGCGCCCCCCCTGTCATGCCTCTGCGCCCCCCTGCGGGGGCGCGCCCCCCACTTTGAGAACCACTGGTCTAGTAGCCGAGGGGTCTGAGATGTTCTAACCTGCAATGTTCCCAGCTGGGGATTATTATTGCATCTCTTATTGCCTGATGTCATCTTTGTACTTCTAATGAAGAGACAAACCCCCTTCAAATAAAATCCAAATCACATGAATCTAAATCTAATTACACATAATTGCCCAAATAACACTTAAAACTAGGATCCTTATGGGTAATGAGAACACAACATTCACATCATTACCGTTTAATCTGATTCTGGGAACGTGTTTACAACCAATCCCTCATTTTCACATCCAGCAACAACATCATCAATCATTTGGAGTCTTGTTTGTGTCCACCTGATCTCTTTTATTCTCTCTTTTCGGAGGTCTGGTTGGTCTCTACCGACTTATTTTTAGTGGCTATACATGCTCCACTGTGTTCAGCAGGCAGTCTCTAACAAGCCTGTCTGCGGTCTGCTACTGAGCAGGTAGTGTCGTGTTAGAGTTTGTTTGTGCAGAAATGTAATTGCCTGTGTGGTGAGCGATGGAAGGTCAGTTATAACTGTGTTAACACATGAACTCTCTCCTCCTCAGTGTCCACCAGAGGCCCAGCAGCATCAATCCAGCACCAACGCCCGCCAGGCTCAAACTGATCAGCACCTGAGTGTTCAGACACAACAAATGCACAGTTGATAAGAAGGATGATTATAGGGCTGCCCTATAGCATGGTTGAGCTATAGCCCATGTACTAGGGCACGCAGAAGACTCAGGCTCAAAATCGGCCTGGGACCATTTACCCACGCCCTCTGGTTTCCCCTTTCAACACTGTCACTTCAATAAGGGCACTGGTGGCTCCAAAAAAAAAGTGGATAAAAAGAGATCATTATACACGATGAAATAATTCTACTGAATTTAGTTTTATTAATTGCTTTGAATCTGTGGACAAGCTGTTTTTCTAAGGGCTTTTCAACAATATGTCAGTAATCTTGGGCAGCAGTAGCGCAATCTGAGGGACTTGGCTTGGGAAATGGAGGGTTGACAGTTCAAGTGCAGACTGGTGCTTGGAGAGGTGTTAATTTGCCTCTTTGGGATGCCAAAATGCCCTCGGCACCAGACCTACACACTGCTCCCCAGGCACTGTATATACAGTATAATAGCTGGCCACTGCTCCTAATAAGATGGGATAAAGGCAGTGTCTTATGTGTGTGGGCTACTTTCTTGACGATTAAAGGAGGATTCACAAAGTCTTCCATTCGTACATAATAGTACTTGAAACAAATCCCCTCCAATTATCTTTAGTGTATGACTGCTTCGGCAAATCCATCCCTTCCTGAACAAACCGTACAGTGTAAATCAGAGGCGTTCTCTGGTCTGACTCGGTCTGGTTCTGCTTCTGGTTTCCAGAGTCCCACTGGGCCAGAGAGCTCTCGTAGTCCAGATTGAGTACAGAGGATGGCAAAACCCGGATCCCCCAGTAAACCCTCTTCACCCTGTGGAAGCTGGCATCCTGCACGACACAGCGATAAGTACCTGAAATATAACATGGTGATTAATCGGCGCTTTAAATGATGTCCTTTCATTCAACAGGCAGGAGGTGTGTTTATGTCTGTGTGTGAACGTGCGCCCCTGACTTTTGTGTGTTTCTCTTTGTGGGAATGTCTTGGTGAGAATTTCAGTGCTGTTTCGAGGATATTATTGTGAAATTATTACATGTTGAAACTTTCTTTGTCTACCGTATAAACACCATGGACATTACTTTTAAACCTCACCTTGATGCTACTTTGCTTGTGCAGCTTCATTATGGCATTATATAAAACAAGTGAGGCAAAAGGCAGCACATCAAATTACTTCTGACATATCATACTGTATGTTCTGGTTAGCCTTTGAGAGTAAAAGTAATGTGTGTTAAAAAAAAATCTTATACATGCACCTCTCCTTAGAAATGGGAAACTAAATTCAGGTTCTGTGTGAGCACATGCATCAGAGTGTTTACCTGCGTCCTCCTCCATCACAGGGTCCAGAATCACACGCTCCAGCAGAGGGGCGTTCCAGCGAGCAAACAGAGTGTCGTCAGAGCTGATTATTCCTCGGGCATAACGCCATGACACCCTGAGCCGTTAAAGAAAACACCTCAGTGAGCAGAGCCCTCTGTCAAAGACCTGCCGCAGTTACAGGTGGTTCTGCATCTATGGAACAACCTCAACTTTGGCAAAACAAGCCATTTTTCTTTCATTTTAATCCCATCTTTAAATGGCAGAAAGCAACAACTTGTGGACAATTTCAATAACTAAAATGACGGTTGTTGCATCAGTCTGTTTTAGTCCCATTATTGGGCTACAAATGTATGCATATAAAGTGCATTTGTACATGAATATAGACATAATTCCGGGGATTCCAGGTCTGTTATTACAGGTAATACATTGTTGGATACTGTCCCGGGGCCCTTGACTGTCACAAGGCCCCTACGGATCAAATGTTTTCAGGCTTGTTTGACCTCTGACCCCCGCCAGCATCACTGATGGGTGTTGGGTTTATTCAGAAGTGCTGCACCTTTAACCCCACCCACAAGTGATGTCACAGGGTCATGGAGTACACCTGTCCTGTACATCACAACAAGTTCACAACTGGAGGGCAGACAAAGACGATGTTCAGTTTAGTTTCTCATTTAAGTGGTTCCTATATGTTTTCCGTAATCCTATTTATAGTATGTCTTAAAATCTAGTTTTGATACCTCTATCAATAATTCAGTGATTATAATGCTTAATGCATATTCTAAAATGCAATTTACATTTATAGCCAAACTGAAAGGGCTTTTTATTGAGAAGGCTGAATAATGGCCCACATCTCAGTTTTGCCTTGGGCTGGTTAACACCCTTCAAAAATGATTACAAAACTTTTCATTTTATTCTGCAATAGATATCTAGTTTTTCAGGATGAGACTGTGTTATATTTAACATGACAATTGCAAGATTTCTTCCCCCCATTGTTTGCAATCAAAAGACATGAATCAGTCACCTCCTCATCCTCACCTCCAGGAGAACCTCCCCATCGCCTGCATCACTTCTCCCAGACAGTCGATCTCCACTCTCTCTCCTAGAGTCACAGTCATGGTCCTGAGTCCACACTGCCACGACTCCAGACAGCTCAGCTTACGCACACGACACTCCTCCGACACCTTTCATTTAGCAATTTCCACATGCAAACGAGAATGATTAATGTTAAAGGTCCCCTCATACTGTTTTTCATCAATATATTACAGGTCTCAGATATAAACAAAACATGTTTCTGAAGTGTTTGGCTCCAAACACCAAACAGATCATTGCAGCATTACCCATAATCCCCTCTGTTTCAGCCCTGTTTCAAAAGTGCTGACTCTCTGTCTGTTACTTTAGATGAAAATAAGGAGCCCCTCCCCACGCCCTAGATATTTGGTTAAACGGAACACTATGGTGCTCTAGGAGGAGATTCAGGTGATAAGGGGGGAGGGGTTACCTTGGTTGGTGATTGGCTAATGGTTACTGTTGGAGAAATACTGTTTTCTCCACTCTTTGGGTTGTTTTAATGCACTGATATCATGTGTGGCTCTGAACTGTGTATGACCTTGCAGCTGCCTCTTCTTGTGATAGGAGGAGGCAGGGCATTTCAGGTTGTTGATATTTATGAGAAGACAGACTTGCTGTCTCCTAAATATCTCATTTCTATGAAGCGTGAAGGAAGTACGTGACTCTTTCCAGAAGACGTCACAGATGACCCATCGCAGATGACCCGACACCCGCGGCTGATATTAGCACCACCTCGATTTACGACTTTGTTGTTAGCCTATCTCCTGTGTTTTGGACTATATAAGCCTGATGTTTTTTGCTGTTCCTTTGAGCAACATACCCCATGTGTGTGAGTTAACCCATATCCTTTGTATGTGATTTAACTCTGCTCCTTCTTGCAAGAATAAATTAGTTACCTGATCATTGATTCTCAACCTGGTGTCGAGTGATATTTTTCTAACAGTTACACAAGCCAAAAAAACGTTATGACATCATCAAGTGGCCAAAATCTGATCAGCTAATTTTCAGACAGGTTTTTATAGAAATGGATCAGGACAAAAAGTGAGCAAATATTTTCTCCTGAAACTTTCAGAATCTCTTTACACAGAGGGGACACATATGTATGTATAAAAGACATTGAAATCATGCAAAACCCAATTTTTAGAACCTAAAAAGTGGATTTTGCATGATAGGAGACCTTTGATGTAGTTATTTTCCTTCTTGCATTTGTCAATGATTTAGTGTTAGATGTTTAAGACAACTACAGTACCTCTGTTCCATCTTTACTTCTCACATCTTCTTCCATGGCTTTCTTGCCATCCTTTAACAAACAGAGGGTTTGAGTTTTAACACCCAGACCACAGGTGGCGCTGCAGGGGGAGCTGTCAACAACAACCTCCACCGACACCTTATCCACCTCCTCCAGGTCAACCGAGGTCACAGGATGGAGGAGGAGGAAGAAGAGGAGAAACCTGACAGTCACATGTTGCATGTTTGTGTTTGATGGTAAATCTGCAGGAAAGAAAAAAGTGTTTTCGTGTCACTTAATGCACAAAGTTAAGTATCACAAAGAAGGTTGAAAGAAGAATGAACTTGTTTATTTCTGTAAGTGCAGTCAAGATGTTCAGGTAAGTTTGTTGATTTATTTGAATTAAAATTGCATCTCTGGGTAACATGCTGCCAGAATTAGTTTTCAAGATTTATTATCAGATGTCAAAGCATAATTGTTTTCCAATATACAAAATAATTTAGCTACATTTAAATTAATGTAAAACTACTTACATGTGAAAATGTCTTACTGTGTGAAATGTAAGAAAAATACAAAATAAACAGGTAAAACATGAGGATTTCAAACTCTTGCAGTTACTGGGTTTGATTATCAAATGTATTTTTTGTTGTGACAACCAGAGTTCCAGGTTGCAGGTTCCCTTCTTCTGTCGGTCATAATGATGACATTTATTACATGGCTTAGTTGAATACTCGATTCTGATTGGTCAATTCAGAACACTTGACACGTTGTTAGTCCAGAACAGACAGACCGCTGTCAATGATTTATTGACCGTTGTTAAGGACGCTCACATCTGCACTAAGAAGTCCGTTCGATTGAACTGTATACAGTTTGGCTTCGCGTCGGGCTCCTGATCAGCCTGTCGGTGTTCTTTTCCCCATAATGACCGCGTCGCTGCACATTATCCCTTACATAACATATGTTACTCTCTACTTTATGTTGTTATATTTGTCAAAAAAGGGGTTATAAAAGCAGTTTGTATTACATAACTATCAATGTAAGTTAAGCTTTTAGAACAATACAAGATTACAAGGTCCTGGAAAATGCAATTCTGCATTGGTGTCATTTTGTATTTATTTGCTATTTACTGTTTTAATCTTTAGACCGTGGAAATAACTCTTGAACTTGTTTTTATTAGGTAAATAATTTAAAACAAACAAACAACACCATATTGTATCTCTAATTTAGTTAATAGCAGCTTAACTGATACATGATTGATTTGTGTGTACAGAATACATCATGTTGACCAGTGGAAACCAGCTTGTTGAATATTGATGATGTTGCACTTTGTTATAAGACCACTAGGTGTCAGACAAGTATCAGAGAGAATGAAAACAGACATCCGCATAACATGCTGTCGACTGCACTATACATGGCCATTTGATTGTTCATTAAAACAGACTATTGATCACCTTATAAGTTCAAAAGTAAATCGAACAGTATTAAGTTGTCTAGCATTTGTTTGTATTAATATGCAAACGTTTATGCAACATTAACGTTTTCTGTACATTATTAATGCACATTTGTGGATTCTGCTGACGTAATTCTTTTATTTTAAATCATATTTGCATTTACATTTATTGCTCATTATAAAATAAGTACTTGTCAAAACAGGTTATATTAAGAATTGTTAACAATTTAAAGACTTTGGTAAGTTTTGGTTTGGTTGCGTCGCTCTCAAGCTGTTCTGTTATCTTACTATTTGTGGACCATAAGACTTGTTTTTTTTCAAGTGGCAATGTTTAAAACAAATCTTTTTTTAAATCATCCATGTGTGGGAACCCTTATCTGTGTGCCACCTTCGGCATGGTGGTGACAAAATGCAAACCTTGTCTCGGTTAATGTAGAACTGAACAAACATTGCTGTATTTATCAGTTGTGCATCAATTGAGAATGTGAGGAGACAACAAATGAAGTCTGCATTATGGAACATAGAATTATGAATCTGCCAAATGTGTTGATGAGCTTGGATGTTTTCCTTTTACAATGAGGCCAAATTGCACCTTAAGTTTCAGACCAGCCTGGACTTCAGGTCGACTGAAGCACCCACCTTCTCTCTTGGCTCCCCGTGCCTTTTATTCCAAACCCAAAGCATGAATATGGTACTTTTAGCACATTATGAATGGGTCGGTGTGTCAAGAATAGTAATTGTTTCAACCCTAAGTGCATCTGATGCTGGGAAAAGAACAAAGACATGAGAACACACCAACAATCCACAGGAAAAACACATTTGAAGAGCGTCACAAAAATGAATCAGCATCAGCGGGGGACTGTAACGTGCAATAGACGGTAACAGTGGCCTAGTTGGCAGGCCAGGAAACTATGTGTGTGTAAGAATAATAAAAATAAGGAGACACAACAGGACATGAGAAGAGAGAGAGTGAAGAGGAGGATGAATGTGATGAGAGATGTTGCATTCAAACAGGAAGAGAAGCATGAGGATTAGCAAATCATGAACTGCATCCAGATTCCACATGATTTACATCCAATGCCAACGTTCAGTGCCAATGCAGGAAGTACTGCGTACTTTCTTCAGCTACTCACCCCACTCGCTGCAAAAAGGGGAACCATAAAACAGTACCATTAAGGCTGTATTTCTTTGTAATAAGGTGGAGAGTAAAGTACCTAGTGCCATTGAGCACACACTTTTGAGTATTATGAACTTAAAAAATGTCAAGATCTGAATTCCATAACCTCACTTCATGTTTCTGTAGTTCGTATGTGGGCGCTGGAAGTTGGTGGAGGCAGATCTGTTGGCCTTTTTACCTCAAAGTGAGCAAAAAAACCGTTTGCTTCAGTTCCTCTTACAGCCAGATGTTGACAGTCACACCACCAGCATGTGATATGTTTATTTTCTCTTACAGTATAATATGATAATGTTATGAGATGTTAAAGTCTTAGAGAGACATGAACCAAACCATAGCTCCTTCAAATACTCCACATTAAAGATATTTAATGTTATATATATATATATATATGTAATTCTGAGGCGTTAGAGAATATTGTGAGAGAGAAAGTTATCTGCACAGATTTATCAGCGGTTTTAGCTTCCTGTTCTATAAGGGCGTGGTTTATGACGGTGATCTATTTGTAATAACTTCCTTCCAGACAGCAACACAAGTCGATCAGAGTGCTGTGCTACACGGAGAGAAGCACTGTTTATGTTTAGGAATATTCTAGGTGTTATATAGTTGACACGCTATAGAGAAACGGGGTTTTCTTAACCATCTTTTGGGGTTTAGAGGTAAGGGCATTTCTAACTTGGATGTATTAGTTTCAGACAGACTGACAGGTAGTTAAATGTTTAGGTTGAACCAATGCGAAGAAAGGTTCAGAGAAAGCAAAGTCCACTTGTAATATAGTCAAGTATTTGTTAGTTACAGTTACTTTTGTCTCATAAATCCTGTTTCCTGACATGCTGCTGAACTTTGAGCTGTTGGCACATGATAATATTGTCTGACAAAGGAGAACTATGAATGAGCACCTGCTTAAAATACTGATTATTGGTGATGGAAATGTTGGGAAATCCTCGTTTTTGCATCGCTACGTCAACGGACAGTTCAACAAGACGTACAAGATGACAATGGGAGGTAGGGATGTTTTATTTCATCAGTGTTCTGTAGAAAATGTGACTGTGCCGTATCTCATTGTGGATTTATGACAATGGTTTTTTGTTACCTGAATCAGGTTTTCACCTGATAATGGCAATATGATCTCATGGTTGATTCAAATAGTCTATGTCTATTTAAAGAGAGCATTACAGAAAGTAAAAGAAAAGAGCATAAAAGAAGGTGTATTGTGTTCATTGAAGCTTTAACACTGGCAAACATGAAACTAAGTGAGCTCAGGTTATATTAAACCTAAGCAACAAACTCATTGAAGAACAAATTGTGATGACACGAGGAACACAGGAAGCAAATCCACAAGGGACAACTAGAATGTATCCAGGGAATGAACACACTTAGGAAACACCGCAGAACCACAGGACACAACGGGAACATTGACCGGAAACGTTTAAGAGACACAGCTGGAGAGGGCAGGCAAAAGTGAAAAAAGATTCAAGGAGACTGTTCTACAAAACAGGGATAAAAAAAATCAAGATTATGAGAAAATGCAAAGAATATACATAAACAAGGTCTACTCAATAATAATACATTCATTTAATGTATAAAAGCAGTTCTATATTGTCAATGGATATTCTTGTTTCATACTAAATAAGTGCTTGCTGATGTCCTATTGAACAAGGCAAGGTAAAAAGCTATAATGGCAAAAATTGACAGTAAAAAAACAAATAAACATTTTGTTTGTCCTTTTCTTAAAGGTCACCTAATGCAAAATCCACTTTGTCATGTATTGTATACATAAGTGTCCCCTCTGTGGAAAGAGATTCTGAAAGAAGTCTCAGGAAAAAAAGATTTGCTCACTTTTTGTCCTGATCCATTTATATTAAAACCTGTCTGAAAATGAGCTGATCAGATTTTGGCCACTTTATGATGTCATAACGATTGTTTGGCTTGTGTAACCATTAGCCAATCACCAACCAAGGTAAGCTTTCACAGTAAATGATGCTGGCTTACTGGTATGTTTGATATGTGGAGAGAAGTTGTCAAAGGTGCTGCAGCCTTTGGAGGAAAAACACGGAAGAGGAAGACAGCTGACGATCTTCAGTCATAATTCAATCACCTAACTCTTTTTAGGGTGCAGCTATAGGTTTTATTTATTTCAAATTGGGCCCATTTTAATTATATTCATTTTCTTCAAATGTGCAGAGGACTCCCCAAGTGCTGTGTTGATTTATTTTAAAGTAGGCCTGTGTATTTTTTTTAATTCTCCTTATAAAGAGTTATTTGTTTATTATTAGAGGTAAACAGCTTTCTATAATGTAATACATAATACATGCAAAAAAACTGTAGTTTTTGTCTATGATATATAACAATATACACAACGTTATAAGCTATCAAGCTATCAAATATGTTTTGCGGCTCCAGACAAAACAAATTGGTGGATAAGGGGGCAAAATGGCTCTTTTGGTCAAAAAGGTTGCAGACCCCTGGTCTAAAGTAACAGATAGAGAATCAGCACTTTTGAAACAGGGCTAAAACAGAGGGGATTATGGGTAATGCTACAATTATCTGTTTGGTATTTGGAGCCAAACACTTCAGAGACATGTTTTGTAAATATCTGAGATCTATAACATATTGATGAAAAACAGTATAATAGGGGACCTTTAATACTATCCATAGTCCAGCATTAATGCACAGCAATAGCAAAAATGGCTTGGTGATTTCCTAAACATATTTTTGAGCTTTGAGTAGAACTGGAGTAAATGGTGGATTGGATGGAGGCAATTGTTGCCTTCTAATGTGAGATACATTCGTTGCTCTGGTGATTTACTGCTCGACCTCAATATGTTTTCGGTCTTCCCTAATCGGATTCAGCAGAAGGCGTCAAGGCGATAAATAGATGGTTCGTTGAATCACCTGCCAAATGTTTTTTGAAACGGCCTGCCCTTTTCCAACAGTTTTATATGACGGCTTCTCAGATACCCACCCCAGCAAAGCCTGTTCACCCTGCTGCCATCTGTTCAATTGACTGATTCTTGCATGTTTTGCATTTTGATAAACAGTTTTACAGAGTATTATCCTGCTCCTTTGCTAAGGATTGTTTGAGTAAACTTCTCTCTGAGAGTAAAAGTATTGAATTGGAGAGTTAATCTGAGGGTTTTTTTCCCTGTTTTTTATTTTTAAATCTGTAAAACACACAGATTTCTTTCTCCACTTCTGTTTTTTTACTCTTACTTCTCGCTTCTTCTTTTTTCTCTACACAATGTTTTTATTTTTCTCTAGTGGATTATGCTGTGAAGCTGCTGCTCTGGTCAGATAAAGACAAAGTCAGACTCCAACTGTGGGACATCGCAGGTACAAAACGTTTTTCAGCATACGGATTAGTGGAAAGATGCGTGGGTGACTTAATGAACTCTGTGTCTTCCCTCCAGGCCAGGAACGTTTCATATCCATGAACAGGGTCTATTATAAGGGTGCGCTGGGCTGTGTGGTGATGTTTGACGTCACCAGCTCAGCCAGCTTCCTCAGCTGTCGCCATTGGAAACGGGACCTTGACAACAAGGCCATGCTTCCCAACGGAGAATCCATCCCCTGCATCCTGCTGGCCAACAAGGTATTTTGTATGTCTTAAAGGGTGTAGTATTCACAGGGAAATGGAATATGATTACCTGTTTTGATTAGTGCATATTCACCTGGAACTAAGAATAGGTGTTTTTGTGTGCCCTTTGTTTTTACACTACCTTAAGGCCACCGTAGTTCTCCGATACGCCTGTAAAACTGTGGTAACGCCGCCACCGACTGAATTACTTTCCTCACAAAGTGTTATGCTAAGGATGGCCTCTGAGCGATGTGAAGGTCATGTTATGTCATGTATCTAATTCATGACATTACTTCTTCCCTATCACAAATCCAGCTGTAACAGAAGTAACAATGTCATATTACCCTGTCCGATAATAATCCAATGCAGAGGCAATAACGTATAATACATTATTTTATATATATTAAATATTTATATATGTATATTTATAAAGTCTTAAAGTCACAACCGGCCCTTTGAGTGTAACCATAATGCTGATGTGGCCCGCGATGAAATTGAGTTTGACCCCCCTACATGTGGCAATTTGTTCATGCGGAAAAAATTCAGTTCTGTTATGAATTATTGGTGTGACTTTTGAGGTTTAAAGGTTTTGTATTGACCGTATTGTAGAGATCCATGCTGCACACATACAGGTTTAACCATTTCACATCATATTATCATAGCAAGATAACCCTGGATGGGACACATTTGATTTTTAATAAACCACAGCTAACACAATACATTAATCATTAATGCACCTCAGCAGGTCAAGCAAGATCCTGAAACCCTCACCTCACAACAACAAAATGACTTCCTGCCCCTCTCTCTGTCTCTCTCTCTGCAGTGTGACCTCCCTCAGCGGGTCGTGCCCCCAGACAGCATCGACAGGTTCAGTAAGGCCAACGGCTTCATTACCTGGATGGAGATTTCGGTCAAAGAGAACAAGAACGTTGGTGAAGCTATGAGGTAACAAAAACAACAACAAAAGAAACGTAAGAGAGTACGGGGTTCAGATGATGCATTGTACACTGAACTCTTAGAAATAAGGGTTCCAAATAGTTTCTTCCTGTTATGCTGAAGTTCTACAAACCCATAACTTTCCTTCTGAAGAACACTTTACATTTTTGTTAAAATTCATGTTTTTTTAGGCCAATTTCTTCAAAGCTTTTGCTAAAGTGTTTACAATGACAGATATGACAAAGTGGGAGCAGTAGCCTTTGTGTTCACTCCAACAGGCCAGCACTGAATCGTACTTAACAGTGACAAAGCGGTATTCAACCAATTATGTTTAAATAACTCTCATGAGTGATGCATTTGATGTTGAAGGTTTGCAAAAGCATTGAATTAGGCAGGATATTTATTTGTTATGAAAGTTACATCAGCAGAGAAACATGAACACAACTGATGAAGGACTTATGCTTCAATGCATGCTTTTTCAACTGTATGTGAACCCTAGCCTGAAAAGGGATTTATTTAGTTGGAAACCTTGATGATTCATGATATTCCTATAAATCAGTAAATCAGTGTTGTGTTTCAGGAGATTGGTGCAGGACATTTTGTCTGTGGAATCCAGTCTTGATTCACTACAACCCAAACCTCAAGAAATCGTTAATCCTCAACTGGACGCGGTGTGCGACGGAGGAGCAGGATGCTGCTGAAACACAATCAAAAGGACAAGCAAACAGCTGGGACCCAATCATATACTCACGTTGTTTCAGGGGGCACTGAACAATGCACTTAACTGAGAGAGGCTGTCTGCAAATAGAAGACGATAGTGGAAGCACCAGGAGATGTCGATGTAAGTGAGGTATATTGATGCTCAGCAGATCTTCAGTGTCCATGTGTGAGCTGGCAGTGATCTAAGAGGACACTTTAAGTGGGATAAGGAAACAACACACATGTTTCTCATTTTGGACAATGTAAGATTAAAAAACGAGTGTGAAAGCAACAACACCGGTTTAACTGTCAAAAAGACTCAATAAGGATTCATCAACTTTTTTCTAGCCAATTAAAGCCTGTTTCAGGATCTAAAAACAAGAAATATCAGTACAGTAAAGTACACAAAGACAGACCCTCTGAGCCCTGCACATGACTGTTTTCGTAACCCTCTTCCCGCGGCAGACAATTTGACGTAAACATGCACAACTGAATTTATAATTAAAATATTTGTAATGTTTTCCCCCCAATGATTTTAGTGATGTTTGTGTTTTGGTATAACAGTGTTTAGTGGGTTTTGTTATACCAAAAAACACACAAAATAATAATCTGTGAGAAATTGATAAAATAATTGAGCCACCACAGAAGCTATAGACAGTGTCACTCTTGCCATACTGCTTTTCTTCTTTTTTTTTCGTTTTACATAAATGAAAAACACAGTGGTGTCCAGTTAGAAGAAGTGTGAAAATGTGGATTTAATTGAAATAGTACTTTAAAACATGGTATCAGGTAGATTATGGATTAGGCTACAGGAATGTGTTGGACATATTGCAAATGTATTTTTACCGCTAATGCTAGCTAGTGCTAATGCTAGCTAAATCCTGGGACCCGTCGTTAATATTTTTACTGGCCACTCCTCAGTAAAGTTGAAGCCACTTTCCTGAGCTGTCCTCTGTCCCTACATTTCGAAGGTAAAGAGAGTGAAAAATGATTTGATTATTCATCCAGTGATTCCTATTGATTTACTGATTGACAAAGTGTATTGGGATCTTCCTTGGCCCGTGCATGAATTTTGTTGTTATCCTTTTAGACAAACACGTAATCCTTTTTATTTTTGAGTACATTCTGGCAATTATTTCTCCAGAAAACACAGTGTGCACTGTTGGGTCAGGAGAAGGAGGATGTTGTGAAGAGAAACGGACGGAGCAGATGGAAAGGTTGTCTACAGTTGTTAAAAAGTGTGAGAACGAGGCGTAGAGCGTGCTCAGTGCAGCCGGCAGGTCTCCGCCTCCCTCCAACAGGCTGAGACACATGCGGCGTGTACATGTGTGAGTGCATGTGCATACGCATACACTGTTTGGGGCTACGCTTGTGTGCATAATTAAGATCAAGGCACATGCGTGATCATGTGCCTTGAGTGTCAAATGCCCACACACATGCTGTCAACATTCCTCCTCTCAATTGTCGCCGTGAGCCTTCGACTGCTGAGATTTGTGGGTAAATTCCCACTGTTTTAAGTATTTTCGAGGAAAATATTATCACGAGTATGTGCGGTTTAAATAATAACAAGAATCTCCAAAGCAATGTTAGACCCACAAAGTTTTTGTTTAAATTACTCTCAATGGACACAGTGTTGGTTTGTCTGGTTAACAGTGTGTTGTCTTAAAACATGTACAACAAGTTTTATTGAAAATAGGATAAAATGTAAGTTGTGAAAATTGTAGCCTTTGCTCAGTGTCCATAGAGAAAATAAATGGGACTTCATAATTGTACTGTTTTGATACTGGACACTAAGGAGAGTTTAATACATTTAAAAGTGGCCATATACAGGTCAAACTAAGGTAAGATTGTGGCGCCAGATGGCATTTTGTCTTTGAAAGAAACACTTCCCTTTTAGAGTGAAGGGACGAGACAATCCTTGGTTTTCTGCTGAGCTGTCTAGTCTCCTTCATGAGAGAAACAAGGCCTGGGCAAAGGCTAGGCAATCAGGCTCAGAGGTAGAATGGCTGCGTTTTAGGCAGCTAAGGAATAGCTTCACTTCAAATGTCAAAAGTGCAAAGTCGAAGTACTATTTGTCAGTTACCACAGAAAACCTAAATAATCCTAGGAAATTTTGGAAAGTCATAAAATCGATATCCACCGGTAAGATCCGTAATGAGCTACCTCCGTGCATTACCACAGCATCTGGCTCTCTATCGGACAGGGCTACTATGTTAAATTGCTTTAATGAGCATTTTGTGTCCTGCGGTTCTATGTTTGATTCTGTTTCTAACACTGCTTCTGTGAACACCCCAATCCGTGACTCTGAACAATGTGGTCTGGAAAACCCTTTCAGTTTTACTCCTTTTACTGTCAATGTTGTTCATGAAGCCTTATCTAAGCTAGATCCTAAGAAACCGGCTGGCGTAGAACCTTTCTTTTTAAAGATAGCTGCAGATTTTATTGCTCTTCCTCTTACTACTCTTTTTAACCTCTCCCTCAGCACAAATGCAATTCCAAAAGTATGGAAGTCAGCGTATGTCCTGCCTCTACTAAAAGGAGGGGAGGCAACTATTTTAAATAACTATAGGCCCATCTCTAAATTATCAGTTCTGGCGAAGGTGCTCGAACGCCTAGTGAGTGAACAGGTAAAGGAGTTTTTATGTAAAAATGATATCCTGTCTAAACATCAGTCAGGCTTCAGAAAGCAACATAGCACCATCACTGCCACAATGAAAGTGGTGAATGATATTACGAGTATTTTAGACAATAAGCAGAGTTGTGCAGCTCTATTTATTGACCTTTCCAAAGCGTTTGATACCGTCGATCATCGCATCTTAAAGTAGAGGCTACTCAGTATTGGCATATCCAGCCATGCAGTGGGGTGGTTTGTGAACTACCTCTCTGAAAGGTCCCAATGTGTTCACTTTGATGGGCTGTCTTCTGAGTGGTTAAACATTGCTAATGGTGTTCCTCAAGGTTCTGTTTTAGGTCCACTTTTATTCTCCATATATATCAACAGTTTAGGTGAAAATGTGGATGAAGCTACTTTACATTTTTATGCTGATGATACCGTGATGTACTGTGCAGGTCCCTCCATTAAGGAGGCTGGTGTTAAATTACAGGCTGTTTTTAACATTATTCAGACTCAGCTTGCTGAACTTAAGCTTATTTTAAATGTTGATAAAACCAAGGTAATGCTCTTTTCTAAAGCTAAAAAGACACCAGAGCCTGTTTTAGATATTGTTACTATGCAAGGACAAGTACTTGAAGTGGTTACCTGTTATAAATACCTAGGTATCTGGCTTGATGATTGTCTTACTTTTAAACTTCATGTCAATAACCTGCTTAAAAAGCTGAGGGTTAGGCTAGGTTTCTTTTTCAGAAACAAGTCCTGTTTCTCGCTTGAGGCCAGGAAAAGGCTAGTCACTGTGACCTTTTTACCTGTGCTGGACTATGGTGATTTGTTGTATATGAATGCACCTGCCTATTGCCTGAACAAGTTAGATGCCGCCTATCACAGCGCACTGAGATTTGTCACAAATTGTAAAGCACTTACACATGACTGTACCCTGTATGCCATCACTTACTGTAAAGAGGCTCAGTCATTGGTACATGTTTATTTATAAAGCTTTGTTGGGTAAACTCCCGTATTATATCTGCTCTCTGATAACACAGAGAGTTCCAAGCAGCTATTGTCTGAGATCGCATGATGTAGTATTGTTAGATGTGCAAAGAGCAAGTACTGTCTTAGGTAAGACAGCTTTTATGTGCGCAGCTCCACTTGCTTGGAACGATCTTCAGCAAGAATTGAAACTGAGCAATCTCATTCCTCTGCATGTTTTTAAAGCTAGGCTAAATGAAATGCTTGTTGATACTATGGGCACTTGTAAATGTCTATAACTATGTAAATGTATCCTGTAAATATAATGTATAATGTCCTTTATTGTTTTATGTTTCATGTGGAACCTATATGCTGCAGGTCTCCCTTGAAAAAGATATCTATGATCTCAATGGGACCAATCTCGTTAAATAAAGGTTTGAAATGAAATGACTTGCTGTTGGAGCATAAAGTACATTTATTACAGCCTGTTTGATATATAAATTATTAAGTAAAGATGGTATTTTGACCAGCATGATGCTAGAGGAAAGGTCAGGTGGTGACAGGATTTGTTCTAAAGGGCACATTCGTGTTCAAGCTTTGCTCTGGAGACAAATGTTGGACGGATGGATGTCATTTTGTCTTTGTGTAGGCTTCTTTTCTTGTCATTGAATTGGATGTCGGCTTTGACTCAGTCATCCACATTTTGATAATCCTGGAGATCCTTCAAGATGTTCGGCAGATGGACTTTTGTCATTGTGCTCAGGAAGTAACAGTCACTGCACAATAAGTATGTCACCGTGCCTCGCTCACAGTGTTGAGACTAACGCGTTACTGTAACGCCGTTATTTTTGTTAGTAACTAGTACTCTAATGCATTACTTTTTAAATTCAGTAACTCAGTTACCGTTACTACATGGTGCGTTACTCCGTTACTGCGTTAGTTTTTTTATATAGTCAACAGCCAGGCGAACAGAGATGAGAACTGTACTTAAGTACAGTACTTGAGTAAATGTACTTAGATACTTCCTGTGTCACATGCGGAGACGGGCTGTGGGCGTGTTTGTGTTGTTTACTAACAAGACTATCATGGCGGCGGCGGAGCTCAAGTCTAGTTTCTCCACCTGGAGATATTCTCACTATTTCACTTTTGTCGAGCACAAAGAAAAGAAAGTTTCTGTTAAATGTAAGTTGTGTCCTGGCGGGTCAAAGATCCTGTCTACTGCCCAAACCAGTCCTTCAAATCTCTTAAAACATCTTCAAAAACAACATGCTGGGACGAAGCTAGTAGCTAAGACCAGCACAGACTCAGCCGACGCCACTCCACCTCCACCTAAGCAACAGCGGCTGGATTTTAACCAAGGGACTGCTAGCCAGGGAAACGTCGATAAAGCCATTGCACGGTATGTTGTAGAACACATGCAGGCTATTGCTACAGTGGAGTCACCCGCTTTCACGGAGCTAGTTAGCATGATAGCATGTCCGGGCGGCACACGGCATATGGGACGGAAAACTTTTTCCAAACCTGGAGAAAGAATATACAAAAATGGAAAGCCAGCTAATATCGATGCAATCCAGATTGCATATAATCCATGTGAAGTTGATCAACAGATTGTATTATTCTCCAATGCAATAACAGTACTGAAATGAAGGCTATAAGGGCATTAATGGGAGCCCTTTTTTGAAGTAACTAAAACGTTACTTTTCACAGTAACGCATTACTTTTTTGTGTAAGTAATCAGTAAAGTAACTGAGTTACTTTTGAAATGAAGTAACTAGTAATGGTAACTAGTTACTGGTTTTCAGTAACTAGCACAACACTGCTCGCTCATAATATTATTTTATCTATTTATATAATATTATCTAAAGCTTCAATTTTTCGGGGGACGACAGCTTGGTAGATGACGATTCAACCTGGCGGCAGCATACTCTCGGCAGTCTCCCTGGAGAT